GGAAAAGCTGGCTTTCTGATAATGCAGCTTGTGACTTCTCAGTAAAGGATGGTAGAGACATTGAAAAAACATGTATATGTATAAAAGTGTATATGGAGCTACAGAGYAGGGACTTATGCTACAGGCAAGCTACAGGCTGACAAATCCTTTTTGTATTTTTCCATGCTATACCTGCTGCTCCATGCTATACCACTGAACTCAATACCGTGAGATACCACTTGATTGCCAGGAAGAAAGTATTGCTATCAGCAGTGATACATAGATAATTGTCTTAAAGTGACACATTTTAAAAAAAGAGGTCTTGACAGCTTTGTGCTTTAAGTTTTCTGCTTGAACTGTTAGAAAACACAAAAGGCTGGTGCCAGTTGCTGCAAGTAATGACTGGTATTCACAGGGATGTAGATTCACGTCATTAAAACTGAAACTGATGTTAGGTAACCCCTCACTGACTGCTGCCTTATATTTAAATTGGCTAATGCTATTCAGAGCAATTAAGGATATGCATGGTAAAATATATTCAGTCCTGAGTATTTTACTGATAATGTTGTCAAAATGAGTGYTTTTGTGAGAAAGAGGAGCAACTTCGTGTGATGAAGGAATGAAGACCTCAGTATAAGAACAATTTGAAAAGCAGTGACAAAAATCAACATGCCAGGTATATTTGTGTGYAAACGTGTAACTAAGAGATAGAAAAAGGAACGTAGGATTTTTTTTACATGAAATTGTACAGGGAATAAAGTAACAACAAAAGAGAATGAAAGAGAATATTGGCTTTTGGTAATTTTTAATTACTGAGACATACTAGATGGCTTCCATAAGCTATGAGCCTAAATAATTGGTATCTGGAGTGAACAAGTATCTAGGAAACKTATGCATTTGCTAAGAAATCAAAGAAACATCAATTTATGTTAGCCAGTTCATGAGGCAACTTCATATATGTTGCAAAGATCTTTGCCCCATATGTTTCCCCTAAGTTTGAGGATCTACTTTGCATTTTACATTTCTGATCTTACTGATCTACCTTCTCTTCTTGCTCTAGCCTACCATTTATTTACCATTCTTTACCATTTGTTCTTCCTTTATCTCTTTTTGCTCTTTTTGTCCTTTGCCRTTGCCAAACTTATGTTCATGTATTTTCCTGTTGGCATTACATGTTATACTTACAACTTGTCCAATATCAGTCTGTCAGAATAATTCCTTTTAAGAGTTACCCTAGGGGGAAGGTTAATTGGCTAAAAATGTATTTATGCCTAATTTGTGCTACTACTCAGCTATATAATAAATTCTGCCAAAAATCTGTAATGATAGAGTCCCTTTTCCTTGTGTCTCACCAGCATGCCACAACAAGTGCTTTGCAGTCAGAATTTAGCAAACAAAAATGGTCGTCATTCATAATCATGGCCAATTTGTCCATATTGAGACTCCTCCCATAGTGCAAATAGCAATGGAAGTTTGCTTTAGGAGATAAGCCAGAGAYACATGAATCCTAGCCTGAGAGCATCTCCTTCTGTGAAGCATTCTTTTTAGAATCAAGGCCCCAGTGTAAAAACTGTCATCATTACTTGAAATTCTGATATGAATATTTGTAATCAAGCTTTAACTTCCGAGAACAGAGCGTGGCATGTTTTTTATTTCTTTCTGGTTTTGTTCTCACTCACATTTCCCAGACTGCAGTGAGAGCACATTGTCTTGCTGGTGTATAAAAGTATGTGAGAAATTTAGACGTTCTCCCAGATCAGAGATCCTAAAAGAGAAAAGAAAATGGCAAACAAACATTAGTGGTAAGAGATGTAAYGTACACACCAAACTATTTGCATAAACATAGTCTCCCTCATTCTGTTCTTTATCATTGTCTACTTGTTTCTTTTTCACTTTTCTGTCCCTTTTCTTTTGTCCTTCATTTCTTCTGTARTTGGAGCCTCTTGTTATTCATTCTATAGAGATTGACTTAAATATATATTGCCTATAGTTCAATAGTGGGAGAATCCTCTTGGAGAGATCTGCATACTCAAGATCAGGTTYAAGTAACTTCATTATCAGTGTATCCTGAGAGATATTAACTGTTCATATTTCAGCACCTTTTCTGAATAGATCTTTTGTGAAACTACTGGCTAGTATTTGCTCCAAAGTTATATTTCAATAGTTCAAACTTACTTGAGGTTTTTTATAGGACTTTCTGTGGCAATCAATTTCAACTAAAAGAATAATTCATTCACCAAACAGAAGAGGCATTAAAGTTTTTAACTATTGTGATAAATTTCTATGCAGTCCTTAACAATATGTATTTTAGAAGAGCTTGTAAATTAATATATCGCTCGTTATTGTCTGATAAGCTTGTTTCAAAAAGAGTCATCAACAAATTACTTTTAATGCATTAAATGTGATGAACTTTCTCAATAATGCTGACATTCTCTTGGTAGCTTCTTTTTGTAAGCTCCATAGTGTAAGTTACAAAATCAACATGTACCGTGTAGGTGTGGAGAATAGATGTAGATGCTTTTAAATTGAATTTTAGAAAAACATTAATGTAGAGTTGGGTCATCTTATCTTTGAATATGTTGAGTGCACTGTTCCGCCATAAGCTAAAAGTGGATAACATGAGCTTTGAGAGAAGGGTGGAGCCACAGTGCCTCCAGAGCTTGCTTTCTAAATTATTTACTGATTTATTTTACAATTCTATCGTAATCAATAACTTATCACTAATAGCTATTAGCCCATATGTTGTCCAGGGCATTTACTATTTACAGGATTGCTGGAATGTATTCAACATGTCTTAATATTTGTTTATGTTACATTTATGYATACCTTATTACAAGTTTAATTGTGCATCACTGATAATATGCCTATTTTATACAGACTTAGATGACCATTAATGCCTGGAAATTCAGCAGTACTTTCAGAGTAACCAGCTATGTTTAGTGTAAAGATGTACTCCATATCTCATTTTGAAAAGATCCGGCCTGTAGTACCTTTATGTTACCCCTCCTAGTGCTGGGAAAGCTTTTCAAATGTTGTGTAAACTATGGTTTAAAGTTGCTTTGCAAAATTGTTGGTATCAGCTCAGGGTTTTGTAGAACATTTGGTATCAGCTCAGGGTTTTGTAGAACATTTGGTGTTCTCAGGAATGACCTGGTAGTTGCTGTCTGATCTCCCACAGTGTTTTAGGTGTCAGGCTGACCTTTTCCTGCCTTGTCTCCTTTAAATCCTTTTGTTCCCCTGTATTCCTTTTCCCTAACTTTTGTACTAGACTTACCTAGTATTGTCCAGGGCATGTCTTACCATCCGGAGGCAAATATGGTTACGTAGGTTGGTATCACAGCCTGTGATCAGGGTGAACCCTTGCTACTGATGGAGATACTAGGAGCGGGTATGTAGACAGGGAAGAAAAGAAAGCAGTGAATAATACGCTACTGTTCTCAGTGTCTGGCTTAGGAATTGATGGTGGCCATACTTGGCACTTGTGAGGCCACACCTCGAGGGCTGTGTCCAGTTCTGGGCCCCTCCCTGCAAGAAAGACAATGAGGGGCTGCAGCTCCCCCAGAGAAGGGGAACAGAGCTGGGGAAGGGTCTGGAGCACAAGTCCTGTGAGGAGCAACTGAAAGAGCTGGAGGTGTTCAGCCTGGAGAAAAGCTGGTTCAGAGGTGACTTTATCATTCTACAGCTGCCTGAAAGGAGGCTGTGACCAGGTGGGGGTCAGTCTTTTCTCCCAAGCAGCCAGTGACAGGATGAGAAGACATGCCTGCAAGCTGTGCCAAGGTTTGTTCAAACTGGACATCAGGAGGAAGTTTTTCATGTTAAATTTTGAATGACTCCCCAGGGGGGTGGTGGCATCACTATCCCTGGAGGTGTTCAAGAAATGACTGGACATGGCACTTAGTGCTCATGGCACTTAGTGGTTATGAGTCAAAGATTGGACTTGATGATCTTAGAAGTATTTTTCCAACCTAAATGATTCTGTGATTATATGAAACTAGTACCTCATGCTATTGAGGATGAGCTATTGACTGCTTGGTGGTGGGATCTTGTCCCTTGGGAAGCAGCAGTTCCTGGCTCCTGCTGTGTTCCTTCCAGCAAGTTCAACCACTGAGTTAGAAAAGAAAAACACAATTTGACATATAATCCTTGACAAATTGCTGACCCTTGTATCTGAGGGAGGAGACAAAACTATTATCTATGTTCACACAGTTCTTTCTCTGTAAGCAGCAATTCTTCGTCCTCAGCCTTAAGAAAAAAGAGTCTGAGTTGAAAACAGAAAATTCAGTCTCATTTCTGTATGTAAGAAGTCCCTTTTACAGATGATTGAATTCAGCCATGTCTGGAGTGAATGTAACAATTGTTTGAAAATGTGAAGTCTTAAATTATATCCAGCTGATTCTGTCGGGGGATTTTGCAGGCAGGAAGAAGTTAATTATTCAAAGCTGTATCCAGATCAGGATTAGATTTATTGGCTAACTGTAAACTTGATAGCGCTAAAGTGGTAACTGACATACTTTTTAAAAAAATTCCATTTGTGAGCATGTGCTGTAAGGTGTTTTTGCAGCCAGCTCAAGAAACAACTTTTTACCTGTTCATTATTAAATTACACTTGTCTTGAGAAAAGGAATGTAAGCTAACATAATGTTCCAACATTTATTGAAAAAAAAAATCCAAGCAGAAGCTTTTCAGGTCATATTTTAGGATTCCTTGTTTTTGGTTTCTCCTGTGCAAAATGGTCAGGGTCAACATGACCAGTATGTTTTCGGTGTTCTCATTTCTAGTAATGTGATCTTATCTTGGTGGTGTAATCATACTGAAGAATCACAGCTAGATTTTAATCATATTAAGGGCTAGCTAGTTTGGTTCCTGAACTGAAGTGAAACATGGTGATGAAAATCTAGACCAGCAAAGCTCAGGAATGCTTTATTACTGACCCTGTAGGGTAAGGATATTCACTGAGGAATTAAATCTTAAGGCATTATTAGAAAGTGGAACACAAATATGAATTTACATTAATCCTAAATCTGATTTTATTTAAATAAATGTTTTTGTTGAGTTCAGTAACAGCTGGAATGGACTGGATTGTAGAGTTCTGCAAGATTTGGCTGACCGCTGGTAATCCCTCTTGTTTATATGGAACCTAAGCTATTAGTATGATGAATGAGCAAAGGTTTTCAAGAAAATACTCAAGAGAATGAATTGTCATAAGAATCATCTTATTTAATCTCCAACTTAAAAATTGAGTTAATACACAATTTAAAATATTTTAGAGGCTAAGGCCATACTTAGAGTGATGTTAGCATTCCCTTCTAAAATAACTTTAGGGAGGATCAAATTCAGACTTAAAAAGGAGTGGAAATAAATCTGACACTGTACACATAAGACAAGTTGGTACTCAGAAATTAATAAGAAGAAAATACCTATTTTTAGTTACAAGGCAAACCATTTTGAGTAACTTACAGGCAAACAGGATGGTTGTGAAAGTACCTTGAACTATTCAGAAACTATAAAATATTGGTACAAAAGTAAACTTATTTCAAGATACAGTGGTATTTTTTTTCCTTTTTCAAATGTTGTTACAGTTAACTTAGGAGGAAAAGTTTTCTAGGAGACATAAAACCTATATCAAGTGGAAGAATCTTTACTTCAGCAGGAACCTTCTTAGGCTGTATGAGACTTTATACTGGTAATACAGTGTATCTGTGTTAAATAACTTTGATCTATTTGCCTGTTTGTTGAACTTCTTTTTTTT